CCAGATCCACCAAGATTAATTGATTGGGTCAATAGAGTGGAGAATATTTACAGGATGGATGAGCTGTGTCATATGGAAGAGAATAGAATAGAAAAGTTTAGTAAAACGTGGAGTAGCTGGTTAATTTTTAAAACTTCTTAAAGATACTCGGAACTGGTTGGAATAAAGAGGGAAGAGCATAAGAAGGATCTCTAATGGAGTATCCAATAAAAAGAAGGAGATGGGATGAAAGGGATACAGATATAGATAGAAAATCACGAGAAAGGTTAGATGCTAGGAACACGGATATGGATTGGGGTAATGGGAGGGGGTAGGGCAGGAGGTTGGGCGGGGTGAGGGAAAAGTTGATTTAAATGAATTGGATGTTTTGGTGAAGTTTCTATTTTCTACTCTTGTGTGTTTTAGATGTACTTTTTGTATTGGGAAAAATTCAATAAAAGATATAATAAAAAAAAAAAAAAATGGAATTTGGATCCATTTGTTGTCCGAATCCAAATTTAAAAAATTTGAAAACTGAAGAAAAAAAAGAACTTCTGTTAGATTATTTTGATTGTTGTCTGTGTCTCCTTTTGGTAGATCTAATAATAATAGGAGTTTACTTGTAAGCCAATGGAGTATATATTATGAACAATTGGTATTTAGTACATCGCAGGATCCCTTACTAACCCTCACAAAATGTGTGCCAACAAAAATGAATAATAAATTATAGGGTGCTGCGCTCTATTAAATATCTTAATCTATATATTAGAAAGCACTCTATGCATAATTCCAAGTATGTGGTAGTCTGATAACTACATGAACTTCCACCATGAATGAGCATATACTGTATATAAATTATTCATGTAATCCAAATTAATGCAAGATTATAAATAAGTAATGATACTATAAGCAAAAAAGTGAAAATTAAATAAATCAGCATGAATATAAAAGTGAAAAAGTCCAATCGTGATCTTTATTTATAAAAATGTGAATCCAATGTGCACTTGTGCAAAATCAAACTAGGTAAAAGTTCAGCAGATAGCTGGTTTCAATATACTTTCCTTATGGACAGTCTTTGGTGTATAGCTGGAGTTATGTAGAGAAGACGCTGCACTGTGAGCCTGTATGGATACAGGGATCTCTCCCTCCTCAAAGTACTCCTCAATCCAGTTCTCTATATTTCCTCGTATGGATCATAGAAAAGAGAAAGATATATAGTGTCTTATCCAAGATAAAAAGACTTTATTGTGCGCCCATTATGCACTCACATTAAGGTAAAACAGTATGCGCATTCATAATAACCGCTGTATGCGGTGAGGATCAGCCTCGTGGGTGTGCTTGCGCACACTGTCAGTACTCGCCGTATCAGAGATCAGATGCATGGTGACGTCACTGCCCCTCCCCAACGCGTTGCGCCACAGGGACTCGTAGCTTCATCTAGGGGATGTAGTAAACCGATCACCCTGCCTCACTTCCTTATATAGTGTTATGGCGCCGTACATGACAATGATCCCAAACATACCGCCCAGGGAACGAAGGAGTGGCTTCATAAGAAGTATTTCAAGGTCCTGGAGTGGCCTAGCCAGTCTCCAGATCTCAACCCCATAGAAAACCTTTGGAGGGAGTTGAAAGTCAGTGTTGCTTCAAAGGTCCTACCTTTCCTCAGGGTTTGTGCTGCTCCATGTGCTGGCATCCATCTTGGGTGTCTGCTAAGCATTGTGGGATCCTTTATGCTCTCAGTCCTCTGCAGCTCCTCCCAGGAAGGTGCCGTTTATCACATTTAAGTCGGTCGGTTGCAGACGTTCTTTGCATTCGTGTCCTGTATGTTGCATTGCAGCAAGCTCTTGTTCTGCTCTCGTTGCTCTCCTGGAAACCGACTCGGTTTTGACAAAGACTCCTCTTGCTCTGACCCTTGGCCCGTCCTGACCATTCTCTGTGTTATTCCATTACCTGACCTCCCGTTGCTGAACCCAGCCCGTGACCTGAGTATTCTTGCCTACCGTCTTGTACTGTCTGTTCCGCTGTTATCGACCCAGCCTGTCCGACCACGCTATACATCTTCCCATCTGGCCCCTACCCGCTATACGCCATTGGCGGCAGCCGTTACTGCAGCCGGGTTACTCGGGGGTCGCAACCTGGTCTCAGGCTGCGTCAAATCCATCCCCACCATCCGGGGCCCTGGTGAAGGGCAGCCTGGTGCTTAGACTCCGCGTTCTGAGGGACTCCGGTCTGTGGGTCACCAGAGGCTGTCGCCAGTCTGTGTGTGACCTTACCATAAGGCCTGCCTGACCATTCCACCGCTCCAGCCTTGACAGTTGCCCAGCGACAGCCCCAAAACATCACTGCTCTAGAGGAGATCTGCATGAAGGAATGGGCCAACATACCAGCAACAGTGTGTGCCAACCTTGTGTACAGAACTTACAGGAAACGTTTGACCTCTGTCATTGCCAACAAAGGATATGACTAAATATAATAAAGTATTGAGATGAACTTTTGATATTGATCAAATACTTATTTTCCACCATAATTTGCAAATACATTCTTTCCAAAATGAGCCAATGTGATGTGTCTGGAATGTTTTCTCATTTTGTCTCTCATAGTTGAGGTCTACCTATGATGCCAATTACAGACCTCTCTCATCTTTTTAAGTGGGAGAACTTGCACAATTGGTGGCTGACTAAATACTTTTTTGCCCATTTCTTTGTGCGCCCATTATGCACTTAATGTGAGTGCATAATGGGCGCACAATAAAGTCTTTTTATCTTGGATAAGACACTATATATCTTTTTCTTTTCTATGATCCATATGAGGAAATATAGAGAACTGGATTGAGGAGTACTTTGAGGAGGGAGAGATCCCTGTATCCATACAGGCTCACAGTGCAGCTTCCTCTCTACATAACTCAAGCTATACAACCACAGGCTGTCCATAAGGAGAGTATATTGAAACCAGCTATCTGCTGAACTTTTACCTAGTTTGATTTTGCACAAGTGCACATTGGATTCACATTTTTATAGATAAAGATCACGATTGGACTTTTTCACTTTTATGTTCATGCTGATTTATTTATTTTTCACTTTTTTGCTTATAGTATCATTTATTTATTTATCATCTTGTAATAATTTGGATTACATGAATAATTTATATATATGCTCGTTTATGGTGGAAGTTCATGTAGTTATCAGACTACCACATACTTGGAATTATGCATAGAGTTCTTTCTAATATATAGATTAAGATATTTAATAGAGCGCGGCACCCTATAATTTATTATTCCTTTTGGTAGATGTTTTCTTTTCTTTTGACGCCTAGTACTTGAATGGGAAATCTTCCAATGAGGAAATTCCCTCTCACTTCCTGTTTATTTAAAGCAGGGGTGTCCGACCTGCAAACCAACACAAAATTGTAAATTTACTTAAAAATGTTGATTTTTTTTTTTGGAATATTTTAAAAAATGTGTTTACATATAGTGAATACATGCGGCCAAAGAACAAATTGGCAGTATCTCTTTCCTGGACCTTTATAAGTTTTATCTTCCTAAAGAAAAATATCCCATTCTTCACAATCATGCCTTATTCATGTCATCACTTTTCAGCAGCACCTATATTTGTGAGCAACTATTTTTCAGGATGAAACATACAAAGGGCAAAATTAGAACCAAAATATCTGATGAGCACCTTGCAAATTCATTGGGAATTACTATTACATCCATTAACCCGGATATTGATGAGTTAGTTTATCAAAAACAGTTGAATATTGCAGTAGTTTTATATTGCCCTCTTTTACATTTATAATAAAAATATTACAGAAAATGAAGTTTTATTACTCAGATAGGTACATTATCTATATCGGTGATCGTTAACTTGCTATCTGCCTTTTCTGCTCATCAGCTATCATTATTAGTGTAGTTTATGTGTGGCCCAAAACAATTCCTCTTCTTCCAATGTGGCCCAGGAAAGTCCGAAGGCTGGACACCCCTGATTTAAAGGGTGTCAGATGGAATCAAAGATAAAACTCCATAATGGGGTCATAGACAGTAACACAAACTTGACAAAAGTCAACTCCTCTTACTCTACTAAAACATATTTTTGTTGCTGTCTGTGTCACCACTGATAAGACTTTCCCTCAGTTCCTTTCTGTTTGGACCCCTTCAAATAAGTAGGAAGTTAGAGGAAATTTTCCCAATGTGGATATGAATAGTAATTCATAATAACAAACCTGAAGTATGTTTTAACCCTTCCTCATTTTATCCAAAACTAAAAATAATAAAAGAGTTTTGGCTAAAGTTAAGATTTAAAGTATTATAGACAGGAAGTTTTTGAACCCTGATTTACATTTTCAAGCAATCCCCCTTTTCCCAATTAAGCTTTGCCGCCGAAATTGCTAAATTGTAGCTCATTGCGAATGGCAGCTGTGAGGAGGTTAGGTTGGTAGGCTTGGCATCCTTTAAACATACACTATATTGCCAAAAGTATTGGGACGCCTGCCTTTACACAAATTTTAATGGCATCCCAGTCTTAGTCCATAGGGTTCAATATTGTGTTGGCCCACCCTTTGCAGCTATAACAGCTTCAACTCTTCTGGGAAGGCTGTCCACAAGGTTTAGGAGTGTGTCTATGGGAATGTTTGACCATTCTTCCAGAAGCGCATTTGTGAGATCAGGCACTGATGTTGGACAAAGAAGGCCTGGCTCGCAGTCTCCATTCTAATTCATCCCAAAGGTGTTCTATCGGGTTGAGGTCAGGACTCTGTGCAGGCCAGTCAAGTTCCTCCACCCCAAACTTGATCATCCATTTCTTTATGGACTTTGCTTTGTGCACTAGTGCACAGTCGTGTTGAAACAGCAAGGGGCCATCCTCAAACTTTCCCACAAAGTTAGGAGCATGAAATTGTCCAAAATGTCTTAGTATGCTGAAGCCTTAAGAGTTCCCTTCATTGGAACTAAGGGGCCAAGCCCAACCCCTGAAAAACAACCCCACACCATAATACCCCTTCCACCACACTTTACACTTGGCACAATGCAGTCAGGCAAGTACTGTTCTCCTGGCAACCGCCAAACCCAGACACATCCACCAGGTTGTCAGACAGAGAAGCATGATTCGTCACTCCAGAGAACATGTCTCCACTGCTCAAGAATTCAGTCACGGTGTGCTTTACACCACTGTATCTTGCGCTTTACATTGCACTTGTTGATGTATTGTATTGTATTGGATTGGATTGGATGCAGCTGCTTGGCCATGGAAACCCATTCCATGAAGCTCTCTATGCACTGATGTTGTGCTAATCTGAAGGCCACATGAAGTTTGGAGATCTCTAGCTATTGTCGCTTTGACTATTGCAAATAGTTGGTGACTTCTGCGCACTGTGCGCTTCAGCATGCGCTGGCCCCGCTCTGTCATTTTATGTGGCCTACCACTTCATTGCTGAGTTGCTGTTGTTCCCAGTTGTCTCCACTTTGTTATAATACCACTAAAAATTGAGCATGGAATATTTAATAGCAAGGAAATTTCATGGATGGACTTATTGCACAGGTGGCAACCTATCCCAGTACCCCACTTGAATTCAGTGAGCTCCTGAGAGTGACCCATTCTTTCCCAAATGTTTGCAGAAGCAGTCTGCATGCCTACAGTGGGGATCGAAAGTTTGGGCACCCCAGCTAAAAACTTGTATTAATGTGCATAAAGAAGCCAAATGGATAATGATCCTAAACACACCTCGAAATCTACGGGGGATTACATCAAGAGGCATAAACTGAAGGTTTTGCCATGGCCTTCACAATCTCCTGACCTCAACATAATTGAAAATCTATGGATAGACCTTAAAAGAGCAGTGCGTGACAGACAGTCCAGAAATCTCAAAGAACTGGAAGACTTTTGTAAGGAAGAATGGGCAAAGATACCTCAAACAAGAATTGAAAGACTCTTGGCTGGCTACAAAAAGCGTTTACAAGCTGTGATACTTGCCAGAGGGGGCAGTACAAGATATTAACTCTGCAGGGTGCCCAAACTTTTGCAGACACCATTGTTTTTTTTGTTTTCTGTTATTTTGAAAGTGTAAATGATGAAAATAAAATCTAGTGTTGATGAAAAATAAAATCGAACTTTTGTTGACATATTATAAGAATGTCTAATCTGTAATTTGATGCCTTTTGGAGATTTTTCCATCTTTCCTTGGCTTCTTTATGCACATTAATACAAGTTTTTAGCTGGGGTGCCCAAACTTTCGATCCCCACTGTAGGTGCTTGATTTTATACAGCTGTGGCCATGGAGGTGATTAGAACACCTGAATCCAATGATTTTAAAGGTTGTCCCAATATTTCTGGTAATATAGTGTATTTTGTGGCATATGGAAGTATACTGGACAGTCAAGGTTGAACCTCCTACCTTTCTCTGATATTGCTGGCATACTAAAAGGTAAATAGCTTAATTGTACAGAACCTAGACCATAACACATTAATTTTTATAGCTAGAAAAATGATAATGTATGTATCATGTATTCTCCTCTGACCTTCATAGCTAATATATTTATTACTAAAGCACTACAATCTAATAAAAAAAACAAGCATTTGTCACAGTCACTGCCTCCATGTAAAAAATAATTTTTCTCAGTAGCCAGTCCTTGGATCTTTTTATGTCCCCTACATTGTAATTCACCTTAATATGGAAGCTAGGGTTTTACATGGTGGTTGAGTTACATACTTCAGTACAGTTCAGAGAAGTAGTAGAAAGGAAAGATTTAGAAAAAACGGAACAATATGAATATATTTTATACCTTTTTTGTCATTTGTAATGCTCAGGTATCACAAATATTTGTAATAGTAGGTATTAGCTGATGCGTGAACTGATCACTATTATATATTTTCAGGCGATGCGTGGTTATATTTTTCCTTTACACCCCCGATTATTTCCTCTGTCCTTAGAGAAAGCTGAATTATTTATGCCCTAAAACAGATTATTTAGTAATTGAAATTAAGACTTACAATGTTTTGCAAACCTGAGCTAAGGCATTAATCAGCCAGACTATTCAATTTTTAATCAACATGCCATGGCTGGCATAGATATCAATGCAAATTAGTCCTACTCCAGCAATTCTATTTTGCTGGCTTTACTGTAATGCAGACTATACAATCCAAAATTGTAATTGATTTTCTTTTACTGAGTAGATAAGTGACTATGGCATGTCATTGTGCATATTCCTCAAAAAGAAAGAGTCACTCAGCAATTCACTGCTCTATAAGTACAACTTTGTAGAACTTTAATTTCCTCTAAAACTTTTTGAATAAATATGTTTTGGAAACATCTTATTATTGGTTTGATCTCCATATCAAAAAATGTTGGTTCAATTTAAAGAGTATATATTCTGTTCTTTTTAGTTTTGGATGAAGTTTGGAAGGATAAGCACTTCTGTTGCGCTTTTACCACCTGTGTCCCTGGCTAGCTAGATTCACTTTCTCTATTTGTCCTGGTGACCATTGTTTCTAAGAACCACCAGAACAGGAATACAGGGGAAATCTTCATCCGGGGACACCTCTTCCAGTGACAGCTGTCTAAGAGGGTAATTCCCTACACCATGTAGAGATTTCCTCTAGCTTATTGTTTTGTGTCTATAAAAGAAAGTAAATGGAAATTTCCCTAAGTGGACACATACAGCAAAAAATAAACCAAGAATAGTTTTAAGCCTTTGTTATTCTATTCAAAGCACTTTACATGAGACCTGTACCAAGATACAAATGTGTAGTTGGAAGGTAAGATCTAGTCACCCTCATAGCTGGGAGTCAGCTGCCATATGAGTGGCCTGTCAGGGTCTGCCTGATTGTGGTTGGGCTAAGGCCCAGTATCACAGCCATTTCAGCCACAGATTGAGGTGTCAGTTCCAAGAAATAGCACTACTGTCCCCCAGTACAACCTGGCATAGTCCATATTATGTTCCACTCAGTTCTCCTGTACACTTACAGAGACTTAGAGGGGCACATGGCATCTACCGTACTTCACTCTACCTCTAGAGTCATTTGGGAATGTAATTCCTAATTCTCTAACCTGCCAACAGGGTCATAGGACAAACACTGGCTTCCCCAGCCTCCAAGAGTAGCAGACTCTGCAAGGGTGCATGTACTCTTAAAGGGGTTATAAATGCATTTTTTCCCTAAAATAACAAAAAGGTTTACAGTTACCTGTTCTGTGTAATGGTATTGCATAGAGCAGTCCCTAACCTCCTGTTTTAGGTTCCCCCGCCAGTTATCTCCATTCTTACTCTTCTCTGTGTGCAAGATGCTTGCTATGGGGGCAAAGGTGCATCAATAGACACACATAACATGGCTCAGCCCTGTCCCCTGCTCCTTCTCATGGGATTGATTGACAGTGGCTCTCAATGGCTCCCAATGCTCTCCATCTGCCCTGTGGGAAGAGGAAGAGAGACCAGATGGGCACAGAATTGGATTGAGAGATGGATCAGGCAAGTATGTGGGAGAAGTTAAAGAACAGACAGTGGGGCATTTTTTATCTTAATGCAGGGAATGCATTAAGGTAAAAAATTATTTGATTTTATAACCACTATGCGACAGGAGTCACTTTGGGTGGGGGGCCCATGGAACACAGCCCCCATTAGAGAGGTGGGGAGACCCCTGTTTAAGCTCCCCATATCCCTCTTATGTGTAAGTCACCCTGTGCCTGTTAGGGGTACAGGGTGGAATGTCCTGCTATTGTGTAGACTTGTATAGGTGGGGGTTGTTCATTGTTCACTGCCATGTGGTTGCATCCCATTGTTCTACTGTGTGTCTTGCTTGGGAGCGAACTATTATGGGATGTGTTTGTGTATTGGCTTGGTGGGGGGTGTTTCTGGCAGCCCTTCCCCCTGATGGGACTGCCTGCAGATGTGTTTCCTGTTACTGAGTGTGTATTTCCCCGCCCTGTGTATATATCTTGTATCTATGTTAAAATAAAGCAGTCTATCTCCTGGAATCCTTCAAGTCTAGTGCTGTCTCCTCTTGTATGGTCAGCGGTGGTGTCTGTGGATCTGTGTTCGGACAGGGAAGTGGGAGTTTAACGGAAATACCCAAGTGCAGTCGGGGTCCGCTCCTGTTACACACTTTAACAGTGTACAATCCATTAACCTCACATCCAGGCTCCTCAAAGAATATTGGAATGTCCAGTTGGACCAACATGTCTATTTTTCATTTTACTTATACAGAAGGATAACAAAGTCCAAATATTGAATATTAGTCAGGGTATTTTCTTGAAAAGAGAACACTCAATTTCTCATAGCAAGCAATTTCTTGCAGCACCTGTCAGGTACTCACCAAAGTCTCAAATTTAGCTGAATTATAACACCGATACAAAGAGGTGCGCTCTCAGGGGAAAAAGTGATCCTCAGTTTCTTACATCCTCTTCACCTGGCAGGAAACAATTCCCAAGAGCATAGCTAACCCTGCCACCCTCAAATATCAACCAAACAAATATGTAGGTGTAGCCACCCTGAACTGGCTGGAAAAAAAGGGTGGGGAAACCTAAATGGGACCTAACACTCTGTTACATTTGGGGACAACCATTGTTGATCTCTGTCATGAATTTCAGGTTGTATAGCTGTCTGAGGTTTTAACACATTGACCATGAAGATGGAGCAAGGAAATACTTGTTTCAGACCAGACTTTAAATCTGTTCCACAACCAGTGAGCTAGCTTTTTCTGAAGGAGAAATTAAAGTAGAGTCCCAGACATAATAAAATATCGCCTTCGGAGGCATGGTGGTATCCGCAGAGAAAGGGTGGACTGACATTTCACCATAGGGTAGATTAAGCAATAGTGGGATGTAAACATATGGGTGCGGTTCATTGAAGATGCAAAACAAAAAGGAGTTTATTGCTCCAACAGAAAACCCCAGGGAGAGAGGGGTAAGGCACAGGGCACCCATAAACTACCAGGCTAGCAGACTCCACAAAAAGGGAGCAAAAGTACTCACAGATAAAGAATCCTGAAGCTGACCTGGCATTCTGTGATTGCAGCTCCTGGCTGTAAAGAACTTGTTAAATCAGCCGTCAGATGTCTTGAGGAGCCACATCCAAACTTCTTCCAGCTCCTCAGGACATCTAGCGTTTCTCCATGGCTCCTTAATCCTCAAACTTCACAGGCTAGGAAGCAGGCCTAAGAGGTTTCTACTGCACAACACATGCCTCACTCAGGCAGGAAACCTAGAGGAGAACAGACTACTTTCCCTAGGTCACTCTCTGAATATTTATACCCTCTCCCAGTGGTAAGTAAACCCCTACTGGTTGGCCAGAAAAAAAAAATATTTATAATTCTGGTTAGTGTAGCTCTCATTATATTACCAGCGACAAGGGTGCCACCTACTGGCAACAGAAAGACACATATGCAGTAATCAGGGCCCAGGGCCCAAAAGAAGCTGAACAATTAATTCAGCTACGCTGACTGCAGCTGAGCACTACTAAATTTAGATAGACATCCGTGCTTTAGGACAGGGTGGCTATATATATTTTTGAATGCAGTGTAAGTACCTGAGTTGGCCTGAGGTATCAGCAACTTGTAATCCTCTGTACAGCAGAGCTTAGACTGTGAGAGCAAGGGGCAGTAGTAGGCACTAATGAGCTGACCTACATGAAAATGTACTGATAAGGAATAAGCTGGCCAGAGTAACCAAAGGTATGAACTCATCACTTTTCTTCTCCACTTTCATTGTCCAGTTAAAGGCTGAGGGCAGAGTGATGGCCAAGTATTATTGCTTCACTGAAGTAAAGGAAAGTCTTGATAGAAATACAACTCCTTTAGCAAATAAAACAGCTACCTTATATGTATTTCAATCTTCCTTGCCTAGAGTTCAGCTATAAAATGGCAGCATCCATACCTCCTTACTCTTGGCTCTTTGAAAGGGTGAGTGATCTTCAAAAATGATATATTGGTTGTGGATAGAAAAGTTGTCTTAGCTGATATATTGCACCTGTATGGACTTGTCTGATTTCTTTCTTTATCTGCCTAAAATGTTAAGCTATTTACCTTTTACCGTGCCAGAAATATCAGAGAAAGGTAGGAGGTTCAACCTTTTCTCTTCTTGTTGGTTCCATTTTGTTAACATGTGTATGTTTATTTGGTGATTATTCCAGAGTATAATGAATCTTAAAATATCTCTATGATTAAGCCACAGAAGGGGAAAAATATATCAGAAGGGCGTGGCCTAAGGGCAGATACTGTGTCAACAGTCAGCTATACACAATAAACTTACCAGTGGCATCTTCGTGGATTTTTTTGGTGTTGAATCACGAATTATATTGGTGGTATCAAAATGTGTTATGAAGT